GAGCAGCCGAGACAACGGCCAGAGCGGCCCCGAGCTGGCGAGCGAACGAACGCCCCACAGGCCAATCGAGAGGAATCGCGGGCCCCAACGAGGGTTGAGAGGCAGAGCGTCGCTCAGAGCGTCTGAGGATGCGCGAGGGGGTATCTCGAGTCGAGAACGAGCCCTCCTTGCAGGACAGGAGGTGGTACTGCAGCTGGTGGGCGGTACCAACGGGAGATGCGTAGAATCCTGTCATCTCTCGCTGCCTCGGGCCGCAAAATGCTTCTGTGATTAAAATGAGCAGGGGTGGCTGGATTAAGTAGTTTAGATTATTTATACATTTTATTCATTTCATTGAATAATATAATTTATTTACTTTATTTTGGGCTTATTGTTTTAAAACAGACCACCAAACATTTGTTTGTTTAACCCCGACTTTCTCCTTAAAAGAACCCAAAAAAGCTTACAGGAATTAAAAGACAGTACAGTATTTAAATTAATAAATTAATGAGTATACAATAGCAAAAAACGTAACACCAAAACAATGCAATAAGGTATAACTATTTTTAAAACGCCACTCAGCAGCCAGTCACTCAGGGAAAACCTGCCTAAAGATCTTTGTCTGCTTGCAATAAAACAGCAAAGATGGGACCAGCCTGGCCTCCAGTGGGAGGGAGTTCCAAAGTCTGAGAGGAGCAGCAGGGAAGGCCCTCTCCCATGTCCCACGAAATGCATCAGTGAAAGCGGTGGAACTGAGAGAAGGGTCTACCCTGATTATCTTAACACTCAAACAGGCTCATAATGGCAGACACAGTCTTTGAGATACTTTAGTCCCAAGCCATTTAGGGCTTTATAAGTTAGAACAAACACCTTGATTTCAGCCTGGAAATTGATTGACAGCCATTGGATCTCTCATTGGAGGGGGGGGTAATGTGATCCCTGTAACCAGCTCCAGTCCACAGTCTGGCTGCTTTAGACCTGCTGAAGTTTCCAAACACTTTCCATAGGCAGCCCCACATAGACAGCATTACAGTACTCAAGCGATTCAAAAATAATGTATTACATGTATTTCCATTTACATTAAATATTACATTCAAAAGTAAGCTTAACTGAATTTTAAAATATGTATGTAAAGGTATATTGCATTGGAGACTTGGGCTGCAATCCTACATGAAATGATTAATGTGTATATTTCTTGTTTCATTTTCTCCACGTTTCTTCCAATGAACTCAAAAGTATGTACATTGTTCTTTTTCTTCCCCTGCTTTTCTCCTCACAACTACCTTGTGACATGAGTAATTCTGGCTGATGGAATGTAACTGCCTCAAGGTCTCCCAGTGAGTTTAGTAGTCCAGTGGGATGTGAATTTGGGTCTCTTGTTTCCTGATCATCTATATGCTGGTGCGATCTCTGATTGCCTGGCATAGGAATGAAACCTTCCCTGTTTCCCCCAAAATAGGACCTAACGTGAAAATAAGCCCTAGTATGATTTTTCAGGTTGCTCATAATATAAGACCTACCCCCCCCAAATAAGCCCCTGTTAAGTGAAACCCCTCCCTCCATCATTGTGCAGCAACCAGAAGAAGATGGCATGACTGTATTTGAATAAATGTAGATTGTTGTAAATGAAAAAAATAAAACATCCCCTAAAAATAAGCCCTAATACGTTTTTGGAGCAAAAATGAATATAAGACCCTGTATTATTTTCGGGGTAACGAAAACACAGTACTCAAATGAGAAAATGAGAAAAATACATGGAAACAGCTGCTATATGGGACAACAAAAAGGTTCAAAAATATACACACGGGGAAAAGTTTTCAGAAGGCCACTCTGATGCATTAATAGCTAATCACTCCAGTTTCAAATACTTGCTCCAATCTGCAATTCTAAAAACATTTCTAAGTAAAATCTGTTTTGGGTAAGTGAAATCTGTTATGGTTATTTGGTGAAGTTGTCATTTAATTCCCAAATTAGTTACAATGATAAATTTAAAAAGTCACTGCAGTGATCAGACTGAATTGATGGATGGGTAATGAAAAATAAAACCAGCTTCCACCAGGGCTATTTTCATCCATATTTAGATGAGTGGAAAAAAAATTGCATGCAAAACAGAGCAGGTTTCCTGTTGAGTATAAGAGGCACTTTGGACAATGTTTCTGCCCATCCTCTATTACTGGCACAAATGAGGAGAATGGCATTGAATCAGGGTGTTTGCTTTCTATTATGGTTGGTGAGCTGAAAAGCAGAGCAGCGTGTGGTGGCAGTCATGGATGACAAAAGTTAGGGGCAAAAACAGGTATTCTATTTCATATACACAGAGAGTTATTTACACAGACACACACATTCAAACACACAGAGGCAGGCAGGTGTTTGTTTAGGTACCCTTTCCCTGCCATCCTACTCATTCACTCTACAAACTGCTACAAAATTAGAAATGTTTCTGCTCACTGTTGCTTCCCTCAATGTCTGCTTTCAGTTGGCTTGCTCACTGGAATTCATTTTCTTTCCCCCTCCTCTCCCACCACCCACCACTCATTTACTTACAAAGAAGATAGCACTGCACTAGCAGATCAGCTTTCACTGCTCCTTAACCTGAACTGGAGGTAAGCCTCGTGGATCAGCCTCCTTTGTAGATACCGTGGCAGCTTCCTTTTTTTGTACATTTGCAAGAGGAAGGAAGGCCTGAGACAGCCATGATGAGCCTAGAAGATAAGCCCTACTACAGGTGAGCGAGAGGGAGATGTCTGTAGGCATGGGCCCATGCAGAATTCTGGCAATTAGAATCAAAAAAGAAACACAAACAAAGCAAATCATGATTTTATGATATTATAGTGAAATTTGATTTTAAGTGCTGCCTCGACTTACAAACTTAATCCATTCAAAAGATGGTCATAACTCGAAATGGTCTTAAGTCGAAGCACCATTTCCCATAGGAATGCATTGAAATTTAATTAATCCATTCCAGCCGAAGGGGAAAAAATCACTAAAAAAACCCCAAAACCCACTGCAAGACCCATCAGAAACACGATTAATCCATTCTGGCCGAGGGGGGGGGAAGCAAGCAAAGCGTGCAAGACCCTTCAGAAATGCAACAAAAGCAAAGCAGAAAGCAAGCAAAGCGTGCAAGACCCATCATAAATGCAAAAAAGCAAAGCAGAAAGTAAGCAAAGCATGCAAGACCCATCGGAAAAGCAAAGCAAAAAGCAAACAAACCCCCCAAGACCCATCGGGAATGGGGGGAAACCCAAAAAGCAAATGTGGCAACCCCAGACCTACTGGAGTATCCCACCCTGTAGTTATGCTGCCACCAACCATTCCCTATAAGGAGTCACACAGACCAGGAATGGATTTTAATAAACAAACGAACAAGGTTTATTGAAACAACAAACAGGGAAAATAAAAGAATCAGGTAAATAGGATACTGGAACGTGGCATAGTCCCAATTATATACATCCAACAGATTGGTTCCCACTGAACACTTTAAGGTAACGCACAGACCCTGAACCTATCAGTTCTGGCTACCTAGATAGAAACCTGAAACTATCAGGTATGTACTATCTGACTAACAGTTGTACCCAGTCTGACACACAGACTCCAACTTTACTTCTCCACACCAGCTCCAAATATATATACAGTACAGCTCCTCCCCCCTGATGTCCCGCCTTCCACTCCCCATAGGATGGAACTTTCCCTCCAAACCCATGACAGACAGGTACCATCAGTGCTGTATGTGACAG